AACTGTGCTCCATAGGATTTTCCAAGACTGTGACCTTTCAGAAGCAGATTGCAGGCCGTTCCTCTGAGGTGCCTCTAGGTGGGTTCAAACTGCCAACCTTTCAGTTCGTAGTCGAGTGTTTAACCATTTGCACCACACAAACTCATCCAAACCAAACCAAACCCGTTGCTGTGGAGTCAATTCCGACTCATAGCAACCCTATGGGACAGAGTAGAACTGCCCTGTAGGATGTCCAAGGCTGAAATCTTTTTGGAAGCAGACTACCACATCTTTCTTCTGTGGAGTGACTGGTGGGTTTGAACTGTGTGTCTCAGATTTCCTGAGCAGCAGACTCTATGGCATATTCATATGCAGGCAGTTACTGAGGAGTTCTTTGGGGATCAACACTTGTTGGGGACTGAAGGAAGCAGGACTGGGCAGGGGGAGAAGTTGAACTGCACTGCAGTCACCACAAAGGATTCTGCTAATCCCATGGGGTACTCTGGAGCCAGTGTGGCCCTTCAGAGTTGTTCCAGTTGGGGTGAGGGATTAGGCTCTTTATATCCCTGATTGGATCTAGACTGTCCCTAACAAGGGAGTGTAACCTCTGATGAGGCAACTCTCTTTAGTCAAGAACAAATCCAGAAGATGGACTTGGCTGAGAGCTTCTGGATACTAATAATTCTAGCAGCTGGGGGAATGAATGCTTTAGTCGTGAAAGTGAGAGGGGAGCCAGATGGCGCACTACAGCATCCACTACACTGTGTATTTCCAAATTCCTATAATGACATTATTTTATAATAAAAAAATGCAAATGCATTTTATTTATTTTTAAAATTAATTCATTTTTTATTGTGGTTATACACACCAAAACATTCACCAGTTTCTACGTGTAAAATTCAGCGACATTGATTATATTCTTCTTATTGTGCAACCATTATCGCTATCCTTTTTGGAATTATTCCACCACCCTTAATGTAAACTTAGTCACATGCACTTTTAAATGTTATTTGCCTTAAAAGAAGATAGGAATGCTGTCAATGTTGTAACAGGGTTGTCTAAAAAGAATAAATCTGAGAATGAATTATGAAGGCATTATGTATTGTATATTAAATTGGTTAGGAACGCACCGTGTTCTGGACAGGGTCCCAGCAGTGTTAATTGAGCCACTGAAGTTGAAGTGGCTGCTACTGGAGCTGGTTCCTCACTGGGGCTCTGCATTCCCTTCTGAAGTGTCACACATCACACTTTCTTGGCCAGAACTGTTCTGCCCAGGATCCCCATAAGTGGGCAATGATTTCTGTAGCAGAAACACGAAACACCACATGTTGGAGTGCATTTGCGTTTGCAAAAAAAAAGTCCCGGGGAAGGTGAGCTGCTGTGTGGTTTTCCATGGTCAGGTAGTTGTCTTCTCATTCTCTCTGCCAGGTGCTGTACCACACCGAGGTGGCCTACGATCCAGAAGGAATCCTAGGAACCATCAATTCCATCATGATGGCGTTTTTAGGAGTTCAGGTATCCATTTCGTTTTTCTAAAAATTTGTGATTGTTAGTTCCTCCCTAATCAAAAAAATGATTTCATCAAAACAAAATAAGCAAGCCTATCCTTTTCCATGGCATACCCACTGCCGCGTCAAGTCAATTCCATCTCACAGCAACCCTATAGGACAGAGAAGA